TCTTTTAATTTATTGGTTGTAGTCCCCATCTACAGTGATCTTGGAGGCCCAGGAAAATAAAATCTGTTACTACCTCTATTTCTTCCCCATCAATTTGCCAGGAATTGAGAGGGCCAGATTCTCTTTCTCTCTTGCCTTTCGCTTCCCTTCTTTCCTTAGCTATTTGTAAAGCTTCCTCAGACAGCCATTTTGCTTTCTTGCATTTCTTTTTCTTTGGGATGGTTTTAATTGCTACGTCTTGTATAATGCTGTGAACCTCCGTCCATAGTTCTTCAGGCACTCTGTCTATCAGATCTAATTCTTTAAATCTATTTGTCACCTCTACTGTATATTCATCAATGATATGATTTGGTTCATCCCTGAGTGGCCTAGTGCTTTTCCCTACTTTCTTCAATTTAAGCCTAAATTTTGCGACGAGTAGCTCATGATCTAAGCCACAGTCAGCTCCTGGTCTTCTTTTTACTGACTGTATAGAGCTTCTCCATCTTTGGCTGCAGAGCATATAGTCAATCTGATTACTGTGTTGACCGTCTGGTGATTGTCCATGTGTAGAGCGTCTCTTGGGTTGTTGGAAAAGAGTGTTTGCTATGACCATCATATTCTCTTGACAAAATTCTACCAGCCTTTGCCCTGCTTCATTTTGTACTCCAAGACCAAACTTGCCCGTTATTCTGGTTATCTTTTGGGTTTCTACTTTAGCATTCCAATCTCCCATGATGATAAGGACATCATTTCTTGATGTTAATTCTAGAAGGTTTTGTAGGGCTTCATAGAACCGATCAACTTGGTAGTACAGTGGAGCCTTGGTAGTACAGTGGTCTAAGGCACCCTGTTATTAAGCTGGTTATTAAGACCAGCTGCCTGCATTTACTGCAGGTTCCAATCTCGCCAAGGCTCAAGGTTGACTCAGCCTTCCATCCTTTCTAAGGTAGGTAAATTGAGGACCCAGTTGTGTGGGGCAATAAGCTGACTTTGTATAAATATACAAAAGAATGAAGGCTATTGCTTAACGCATTGTAAGCCGCCCTGAGTCTCCGGAGAAGGGCGGCATATAAATCAAAATTAAAAATAAAAAAATAAAAATAAAAACTTCATCCTCTTCAGCACCAGTGGCTGGGGCATAGACGTGGACTACTGTGATGTTGAATGGTTTGCCTTGCATTCGAACTGTACAGCCATAGATGGTAATAAACACCGTATCTACTCTGTTTGAAGAGCTGGTGTTGATTTGGATGCTACTACATCATTTTAAGATGAGATGTCATTTTTAACGAGGGACAAGGTAGATCTTGAACAGGTCTGGGATCCAAATAGTACCTCATTCAAGGGTCTGGAAAAAATATTCTTCCTATTTATACCATACTGTATGGTCTGATCCTTAAGGCAGGAATAATTGGATAAATAAAAGAAATCTCAGTGGATCTTTATAAGGACAGCAGTTCAAAATTTCTCCTAATGAAGTGCACTGACTACTTGCTACAGCCAAAAATCCACACAAATTGTTTGTTTGTAAGTTGCGCTGAAAAAGGATATTATTTTCTGAACATGACATAGGGAAAATAGGGCAGGTAACAAAAATAATACCAGGAAATGTGGGCAAAAAAGCTGTTTCTAAGGAATGTATATTTAAAACCATACACATTGTGAACAAAATCTCCATAGATAGGGAAAATAATGAATAAAATTGCAGCCGATATTATATGACTCTTTCTAAAGAGGTCTTCAGAAAAAATATATATTGTTCTAAGTATTAAAGGAAGCAATAAAGGGGGCTGGTTTTATACCAATCTGCCACAAGCACTGATGTTGTTACCTATTTATTGTTTATTTATTTATTGGTTCGATTTATATGCCGCCTTTCTCCGGAAACTCAGGGCAGCTTACAATGCATTAAGCAATAGCCTTCATACTTTTGTATATACCTGCTTAGTAGGGCTTTCGCCCCCCCCCAAAGCGGTGTTCTTTTTTATACAAAGTCAGCTTATTACCCCCACAATCCAGGTCCTCATTTTACCTACCTTAGAAAGGATGGAAGGCTGAGTCAACCTTGAGCCTGGTGAGATTTGAACTTGCAGTAATTGCAGGCAGCTAGTGCTAGTTAACAGCTTTTTAGTCTGCTGCGCCACCAAGGCTCTTCCATTCAACATCTGATGTTGTTACCTAGTCGGGTAATGAAATGTCTGCAAGCAACCAACCAAACTTTCAAGTTGCCACAGAGAGCACTAAGGATTCTACTGCTGATTCAGGTCTGTCTGTCTGTCTGTTTGTCTGTCTGTTGTGTGTTTGTGTGTGTAAAAGTCATAATGGTGACTGCAATTATGTAATTGAAGTCATAACTGAGGATGCATTTATGTAATTGAAACTGATATCCCTCTTTCATGTGTGGTGAGCATGAGTCCAACACATGGAAAAGGGGCAGTGTGCATAATGCACATTCTAAACTTGGATAAAGCTCCAATTGTGTAGCCATGGCTACCATGTTCATTTTGTTGACTTCCCTTGCAGATGCCCTTGATTGCAACGAATTTCCCATTCAAGACATTTAGTTAAGGAATCAAAGCTTGCAATAATTTTATCAGTGTAGGATATTTCCACACATTTGTTCTTCAACTAGAGATTACAATTCATGTATGGGGCATCAAATTTGGTGTTTTGGTTTCCCTTTCCAGGAGTCCCAGGCACCCAAATTACATAACTGGTTAGATTAGAAACTGGAAGACATCATGAATTTATACGATTTATTAGTAACCCCATAGATGTCAGAATCTGTCACCAGGTTTTGGTGGTGGAAATGGGAAAAGGAATTGAGGTGCACTATACAATCCCAGCACCTGAACATCCTTGTTGATTTGGAATTAAAGCAGAGTCAAGCTTGGTTAATACTTGGATGAGAAACCTCAGTGAAACATCAGAACTGCATGGGAAGATGAAAAAAAAATCCAGCAAAAGATTAATGGGGAAAAAATAATGTTGGTACTGTAATGCTGTAGGGAAATGGCTATGTAATCGCAACCATATTTTAAATATGATGCTGCAGAAATTGAACAAACCTTGAAGATGATTTTACCTTGTTATCACCTATGCTATCTGTTTATACAATTGAAACCTCTTATGAAGCTAAACTCTCGGTGGCCTTGCATTTAATATATATATTTTCTTCTTCTAATCCCCCTAAAATCAGCTGAGCTGGCAGTACATCTTATTTTTAACAGTGCTGCTTCAGCTTATTTTTATTCCTCCTTTATGATACCCAAAATATTCTCTGGCATGACCTCAAATAGGCAGGGAAGAATGACCATCTTCTTGCAAGTTCAATCTCCTTGGGTAAGCCATCTGATGGCCCAACATGACTCCTCTTAGGAGATCCATTGCCCTGGGCTGTTCTTGTGGGACCTGGGAAGGAATGCTGTTGTGTGAAGCAAAGAAATGATTTGCAGCTCAGGGGGTAGAATATCAAAATCATGACACCGCTTGGAAGGCTAGTGAGCGAGGTGACTGCAATTGAGCAAGGATGCAGCTTTGCTTTCCTTCTGCACTGCTGCTGAGCAGTGTCTTAGCCAAGCTGCGCAAGAGGGATGAAATCCAAAAAAGCCCCTGCCACCTGTGGTTCTTCTGCTTCTTGCAAGTTTGTGCACGTTGCTCTTTTTGGTGTCTGCAGAAGATGCCATGCTCTTCAGGGGGATGGTGGCTCCTGTTAAATTCTCCCATTCCCTTAATAATTCAGCAGCTTCTGACAATCAGAAGACAAGTCCTCTGCTCAGCAGACGTGAACTGAGCAGCAGGGAAAATAATAAATAAATAAAACTGCTTATTTCTTGACCGGCTCATTGGAAAAATCCAACTCAGCAGTTGCTCATGTTCTATTCTGTAACTAGCTCTTCTTCGGTCTGCAGGGAATTGGCTAGTGTTCAGGCCAATGGTGGAAGGAATTAATGATGCAGGGAAGTCATAATAATAACAATAAAAAGGGCTCAATTCAATCACTGCAGTGATGCAGGGCAGGCTTCACATAATCCAGCCATGTGTTTCATACAAAGAGGTCCATGAATATTCACTTGGAATTTAACCTGGTCAGGCAGAATGGCAGCCTTTGCAAGTCTGGTATTGACAGTTGAACGCTGCTTCTGTTGTAGAGATTATCTAATGAAGTTAGATAAAAAAATTCCACACATGGAGGGAGCAGCATATGGCAGTCCATCTGTCCTTGCACTTCTTGACTTCTCAGTGGCCTTTGATACCACCAACATGGTATCCTGGATTGGCTCTTTGGGCTGGGAGTAAGAAGCACAATAATCCCACTTGCTTTTTGTGGGCCACTATCAATTGTTGAACTGGGAGCAAGAGGTTCCACCCTCTACCCTTATTATGTGGAGTTCAGCAAAGTTCAGTAGTCCCTCTACTCCTATTTAACACTTACATGAAACTGCAGGGTGAGATCATCTGGGGATTGCCCTAGTACACTTTTTCCCCCATTAGTTTTGGGGATCCCAGAGGGAGTCTGAAAAACGGATGTATGAAATTAAGTGATTGTTCTCCTGCTTTCTTGGGTTTTATCGATTTTATCTGTCTTTTTACATGGTTATTTATTTTGAATTGTTTTTAGATCGTTATGGAGTTTTTGTTGTTGTGTTGTACGCCACCCAGAGTCACATGTTTGTGAAACGGGTAGCGATATAAATATACAAAATGAAATAAAATACAAAATAAATAAAATAAAATAAACTCCCATCAGTTTTATAAAAACAGCAATGAGGGTGGCCAGGTTGCCTCAGTTTTCCATTAGTTAAAAGGGTCAATAGCAACAGTGTCATGAGTGTTTTCAGGATTGCTGTGGCTACTTGATCAGTCACAAACAATCAGTCACAAACAATGGATCCAATCAAGCCATCTCCTGTTTGCAATTAACTGCAAGCCTTCCCCACCCTAGTTAATTGCAGGTTAACTCCCCATATAAGCACGAACCTTTCTGCTTGGTATTTGGGCCTAGACGCTGTTTAGGCCTAGATGCAGAGCCAGTGCTGAAGCACCTGGATGCAGAGCCCAGAGCAGAGCTCAGGAGAACTCAGCTAAGGAGTCCTGACGGCTGCAGCAGAGATAGCAGCAGAAAAGGAGCTGAAGAGCTGTGTAAAGATATCCCCACGGAGCTAGCTGCAACTGTGAGTTGAGATAGCTGGGAGCCTTTTGAAGTCTCCAATTTCGGCTTGCCTTTTGCTGAGTTGAAGCACGCAAGCCAACATCTGAACTGTTGCTGCTGGACAGTTTCCCTCCCAGGAGCTTCAAGCCACGTTTGCTGATTGAATTGTTTTTCACAGGTGACTTTTAGCTATGAAGCCTACGCTGCTGCCCTTCTACCACCTCGATGATGTATCGACACCGAAGCTGTTTAATGTCATGTTAGCTTTTTCTTATGGACTATTTTGGTATTGTGGAGAGGAATTTAGGGAGATGGCCTGGCTTCATTTAACCAAGATAAGACTTTGTTATTAATGTGCTTTTTTAAAGATATAGTGTTTTTTAAACATTTTGAAGTAAAGTATATTTTTATACAAGACTCCTCTGCTAGTTTTATTTCAGTCCTAGTGTGTTTGCTCGTGAACTGGTTCATGGTTCGGAGACAACCCTCAACCCCATCCTGACAAACGAGCTTAATTGATCTGAGCAAAGTCAAAGGATGTAAATGAAACTGTACATCTTAATGTGCTACATCAGCCTGGAGCACTAGAGTTACAATCCAAATGCATTTTTAGACATGAAGCTCCAGTGGGGTGTTTTTTTTTTTTTGTTTGTTTTTTGAGCTTCTGCTGAATGAATGATGGAAATGTCTGAAGATTATTGATGCAGAATAGAGGAATATGTGAGTTTTTTTAAAAAGCCTTCTACAAATCAAACTTGACACATGGTGACTTCATGGAGACATCCATGTGGTCTTCTAAGCAGCAATATGGAAGCAGTTTATCCCTTATTTTCTCACCTCTCTTTTTAGTCTACAGTGCAAATATTCTCTGGGGAATTCTGGAAGTTGAAGTCCAGAGATCTTAAAATTCCCAAGATTGAGAAATGCTGCCAGGACTATCTATGAACCAAGTATTCCCCATCTAAATAAGTCCTACCTGCTTAAGGGCCTAGTCCCAGAGTGGCCAACCTTGCAATTTTAAGACCTGTGGACTTCAACTCCCAGAATTCCCCAGTCAGCCATGGTCTTAAGGTTGCCAAGGTTGGACACACCTGACCTAGGCAAAGCCAATCAGATGCTGCCTCCTTCAGAAACATATATGATAAATGACAGCTTTCAGCCAATCCAGGTTTAACAGTCACATTGCAAACCAAGGGAACCATGAGCTACTTAAGTCTGTAAGAGTCTTTAAACATCAAGGCATCCCTCCCAGAATCTCTCTCAATTGGTCTTTATAGATGAGAATAAGCAACAATTTTGGACATTTTCCACCAACTTAAGACAAGGAGTTGGCCTTCTCTGCTGTGGCTCCCACTTTCCAGAGTACACTGCCTCCTGAGGTCAGATCTGCCTCTACCATTCCAGCCTTCTAGAAGAACCTTAAAATTTGGCTCTGCCTCTTGGGGCCCCAATGGAGACACTCTAAGCTAGAAGTGGTTGATGAAATGAGAGAGAAACATCTACATTGTATCGTTTGTGCTCTTGATTTTAATCTTTTATTTAATTGTTAAATTTAATTTTAATGGTTTTATATTTATGCTGTTAACTTGCAAAGCATCTCTGGCCTGCTTTCGAGTTGCCATAGGCGAGGGGGATGGGAAACTGATGAAACAGCATGGCAGTCAAAGACAAATGCGCATTCCAGACTTATCTCTCTCAAGGCTGTCTCCCAGGGTTACCCACAGCAGCCGGAGGGGAGTGATCTCTACAGCCTTCGAAATTGCTCTGTTGATGAATGTGATTGATGACACACCCTGGGGGGAAGGGGGAAACAGGGTCATGATTGGGGCATAAGTTGGCTACACTTGGGAATGAGCCGACATGAAGCTCCTAATAAATAACTGGATTTCTTTTGAAGTTTGGCTCAAGGCTCATGATTTAATTAGGGCATCCGTCGGCACCCTTATAGCTTTTATACTATTGTAAACTGTCCAGATCACTAGAGGCAGTGAGATTGGTGGCATTTAAACTAACTAACTAACTTCCATTCCATGTTCAACCCTTCACTTGGCTTGATTGGTCCCACAATGGGGAGGGATTGAGAATCCTCCCCCCTTTTAAAATATCTTCCTTTTCATTGAATCCAGGCGGTGTCCAAGCTGCAACCACAATTGCCCCCTTTCCTCCTTGATAGGCAAGGGGACAGAAGAACATCAAGCCCCTGTAGATTGACGTCTGTCGACTGATAAGATAGGGATGCTTTCACCATTCTCTCTATGCCTTATGTTAATTATTCTCTGCTCTTCCAAAATATCTGACAAGGTGAAAAAGCAGCTTCAGTCAATTGACATTCAGGTGACATTTGTCCCAGTGTTATTATTTTTTCTCTCCATCAGAACATCTGTCTCCTTCACACACACTAAGATTAGTGATGCTAAAAATAGACATGGAGTATTTAATTGAAGATGATGGGAGAAATCTGATTCTTGTCTTATTGCATAATTTTGGTTGAGACTCAGCTGCAATGCCTTTTCCCTTGTTTTCAGGAACTTTTCAGGGTACTTGGGAACAAGGGCAAAATGAAAGAGTCAGTGCTTGCCTCTTTGACCCTGGTCCATTTTGTCCTTGTATACATGGACTTGTATACATTTATTATGATACCAGGTGTATCTCAGATCTTGTTTCTTAAATTGAACACTAACTTACAGAGACACAAGGTTGACAGCCAGGAATACAAAAAGTGTGGCCTATGATTCTTGTGAGCTATTTCTTTGGAATATTTGAAGTTTTTTTGGGTGGGTGGGAGATATGCCTTAAATCAGACTTGACTCTTAGTGACTGACTCAAAAAGTCCTTGAAATTTTTTTGGCAAGATTTTGGAAGGGGTTTGCCATTGCCTCCTTCTTAGGACTGAGAGAGAATGACTATCCCAGGATCATCTAATTGGCTTTGTGCCTAAGATGGGACTGTGTGACCTTGAGCCAGTCGCTTTCTTTCAGCCCTAGGAAGGAGGCAATCGGAGACCGCATCTGAAAAACCTTGCCAAGAAAACTTCAGGGATTTGTCTAGGCAATCTTCAAGAAAAGGACATGATTTCATGTGGAAAAACAAAACCCAAAACCTTAACCACGGCAACTGGCAAATTTTTCTGGATGACAATCTGACAATAAAATAAGGAAGAGGCATGTCTGCATTGTCTCTTTTATAGCCACAGGGTAGGCCCAACAAGAATGACTCAAATAAAATTTAAAAATAAAATTTATTTTATAAATAAAAATAAAATAATAAATAAATTTTATTTTGTAAAATAAAATAAAAGTCTCACTCCAGTAATGTTCCAGTTATAGTTGCTGGAACTTGGTTTCCTAGGGGGTCTCAGTAAACTAAGGTGTTGAGGTAGTGAGAATAGTGCATGGAAAGAGACTCTTGGAGGTAATAAAAGCCAGCACCCAATTCACCTCCAAATGTATTTATTTGTTTGTTTGTTTGTCAAACATGTACAAGATAACAAGTATAGATATAAACATAAACATAAACAAAGGAAGTAAATACAAATAAATGGGGACGGTAAGACAGGGACGGTAAGGCTGGTGCGCTTATGTATCCCCCCTTTATGGACCAATTAAGAAGGGAGTGAGATCCACGGTAAACAATTTGAAGTTGAAACTATGAGGGTTTGAGGCTGTAACAATGGAGTCGGGTAGAGCATTCCAGGCGTTGACCACTCTGTTGCTGAAATCGAGTTTGAAGCAGTTTACCTTGAGTTTGTATCGATTGTTTGCCCGTGTACTATTGTGGTTAAAACTGAAGAAGTCGCCAACAGGCAAGACGTTATAGCAGACAATTTTGTGTATTATGGTTAAATCAGACTGCAGGGGCTATAATTCCAGATTGTTCAAGCCCAAAATTTTAAACCTGGTGGCATAAGGGATTCTGTTGTGAGTAGAGGAGTGGAATACTCTTCTCATGAAATACCTCTGAATCCGCTCAATCATCTTCATGTCATTGGGCAACCATTTTGTAGAGTTTCTGCAACAGACTCACTCTGAAATGTTTGCTTTTAATGTAGAACTTTCCCAAATAAGTAATAGTTGGATGTTTATATTTCAACCTATGCCATTCATCCAGGATAGTGAACTGCTGGAACATTGGCAAGGGAAAACAAAACCAAAGATGTTTGGACCACAGATCTTTTCAAGACATAGTTTCCTTGTTTAAGAATTTCCTTTCATGTCCATATAACCTGGCAATATGTGTCTCCCCTTGGATTTTTCCTGGTTGTTTTATTTCTTTGCTTCATCCCATTTTTTTCTTAAGTGTCTTTTCTCAGGTCTATTTCAGGTCTACCAGGCTTTGAAAGTTAGATTCCCTATTTTGAAATATTATTACTTCTCCTTGGAGAACAATTAATGCTGAATGAATGTTTCTTTCCAGGCAAGGATGCACAATCTAAGCCCCAGAGTTGTCTCTAAACATAATTGCCAAAAAACCAGCACCATTATTCCCTACTTTTGGGAGTTTCAGATTCAGGGAAACATAAGTGAAATGCACTGGATTGGAGTCCAGGTAGTCCTGAACTTATAAGAGTTTGTTTAGTGACCGTTCAAAGTTACAATGGCATTGAAAAAAAGTAACTTATGACCATTTTTCACATTTACGACCATTGCAGCATCCCCATGGCAATGTGATCAAAATTCAGACTCTGACTCATATTTATGACAATTGTAGTGTCCCAGGATCATGTGATCACATTTCTGCAACATTCTGTCAAGCAAAGTCAATGGGGAAGCCAGATTCATTTAACAACCATATTACTAACTTAAGAACTGCAGAGATTCACTTAACAATTGTAGCCAGAAGAGACATAAAATGGGGCAAAACTCACTTAACTACTGTCTCAGCAACATAAATTTTGGGCTCAATTCTGGTTGTACATCAAGGACTACCTGTTCCATCACCCTTTGCAGGTGCTGTATAGGGATGAATGAGATAGCCTAAATATTTTGGTAGATAGTTTTCAGACTGAATCACCCTTGTTTTATGAATGAGAGCCAATTCTGTTCTTTCCTGTCCGTTCAACATGAATAGAATAGAATAGAATAGAATAGAATAGAATAGAATAGAATAGAATAGAATAGAATAGAATAGAATAGAATAGAATTCTTTATTGGAATTGGACACACAAGGAATTTGTCTTAGGTGTATATGCTCTCAGTGTACATAAGGAGAATAAAATACATTCACCAAGAATAAAAAGATACAATACTTAGTGATAGTCAAGGTTACTAATAAGCTATCAAATCGTACTAGGAAACAAATAAAAACAATACAAATTGAAAGATACAAGAGAAATGGTTATAGTAATAAGTGGGAAGAGATAGATACTAGTAAAGAAGAGAATAATAATAATAATACAGTCTTAGTAAATTATTTGACAGT